TTCAAGCCCACAGCCTTATCATTTCGCCGACCTTCCGGGCAAGCACCGGACCCCGGGTTTTCGGGGCGCGATGGAAGAAAGGCGCTCGGGGAGCGGGGGAGAGACTGGCATTGCTGCATGGCCAGTGGCAGGTCGGACAAGATCTACTTCAAGGACGGCGTGAAAGCCTCCAAAGTGGAAGTCCAAGAGGGTGCCAGCAACTCAGAACACTCCTTGTAATTGCATCTTCCCTGAATAGTTGCGACTTGATCCTGGCCCTGTGTTTGAAGGTCAGGCAACCTGGAAAACAAATCTCAGGAAGTGAGTTTACGGAAACAGACCCGGTCAGTTTGATCAACTCTTCCAGGGCCGCGTTCAGACCCTGTTGGGCGAGAGCGCTCACGGGCCGCCGGTCACCCAGAGGTGATGTGGCCCGCTTTCTTGGGAGCTCCCCATTTTGGACAATATAGAAGCGCACAATTCTCAAAGCAGTAGCGTGCACTTCTTGTGGAAGTTCATTGTGCGGCATTTATGCATGCAGCATACATGATAAGTTCAACATGATGAGAGCGTAGCGGTAGTATGTAATATGTCAGCAATATGAGCCAACATGGCATTGATGCTGTTTTGGCTCAACTGATCAAGCCGGGATATTAGTGAAAGCTACACAGCGCTTGACCAAAAGTAGGCGAAGCAGCGCTCTTTCCTGAATGAATGTTTTCCATTTTTGCATTTGATGACATGGCATTATATGTATGTATGTATGTATGTATGTATGTATGTATGTATGTAATGTAATGTAATGTAATGTAATGTAATTCAATGCAATGCAATGTAATGTACTGTAATGTAATGTAATGTAATGTAATGTAATGTAATGTAATGTAATGTAGTGTAATGTAGTGTAATGTAGTGTAATGTAGTGTAATGTAGTGTAATGTACTGTAATGTAATGTAATGTAATGTAATGTAATGTAATGTAATGTAATGTATGTATGTATGTATGTATGTATATATATATATAACTATATGTGTATATAAACAATACAATCATGCAACTCATACATTATGTACACACACACACATAACAACCTTTGAGAAAGCTTTGGCAATTGTTTTTCTGGCCGGTCTCTGCTTATCCAAGTCTCCTCCAATGTCAACAATTTTGACCGGGCTGCAGTCGAAAGCAGCTTTGTGTGTTGAGCAGATTAACCATCCCGCGGTTTTCCACGACACGGCTGGTGGCAAAAATCCCGGGCTCAGGCGGCGGTTGATCCTCTTTGATGGCCAATGTAGGCCAGGCAAATGCAATCGATGCTTCTCCTTGGTAGGGATCTTGCTGCAGTAAAAAAAGATGACGGGCAGAAGGATCCAAAGTGTCCTGTATTCAATTTGTGCGAGGGTTGGGCTCAATATTTTAGGAGAGAGGCAGCAGATTTCTCCTCTCGACAGAATTTAGATGGGCCAAGACCAAGATCCAACAAGCCACTGCAGGTTATGCCTGGGCTTTGTGTCCATCGTTGTAGGCGTGGCGGCTGCAATGCATGAACGCTGAAGGACTGCGATTGTGGCACAGTCGAAAGGGTGAGGGAATGATTATTTTGTATACATTAGTTTGATAAGCTTGGGAATGGTGGACAGTTGTGACAGAGGCTCGGCAGCGAACAGTTCGTCAGCAGGGAGTCAGATTTCTTTGTGTCACATCCAGCCCAAGGTTGCAACGAAAAACAGGCCTCCTCCTTGACGCGGGTGGCAGCGAATGAATCAGCAGGACAGCAATCTACCCAACATGTCTTTTCACCAGGGTAATCCTCGGATTCGTCAGCACTTTATCATTCAGGCTAGGAATCCTTTTTGAAGACGATCCGGTGCTATCATATCAGTCCCTCCATGTGACAAGCCTGGGCACACAGGCTATCCGCTGCATTTGCACCATTTGCTAGAGACCAGTGATGATGTGGTCCTTTAGAAATTTGGGGATGACCTCTCATCGTACACACAGCTTTTGGCTTCTTGTCAATGCTCAGTTGAATCCGCCTGCCTTGGAGTGTCCACATTTGGAGCTGCCAACCAATCCCGAATGGGAGTTTCTAAAAATGGCGGACCCTTTTTGCTGGTGCCGATCGCTGTGGGTTTTGTAACCACAGTATGAGAAGCAATGGGAAAGCCCTGGGTTTAAGTCTACCTGATAGGGCCCCCCACTCAGGTGAGCTTCCATGTGAAGAGTCTTTTGTACCCGTGTGTCATCAAGAATTGGAACCTTGCACAAACGGTGTTATCCCTTTGTTAATTTCGGTTTCTTCGCTTCCGAAACCGTTTTCTCCGGTTTCCGCCAGGCAGAGACTCCTCGGACCTTTTCCGCTTCGCTCCGCTGCAGTCCGCGCTGGGCCAGGCCCCAGCCAAACAAATCCGCCAGCAGGAATGCCACTTTGCAGGCATTCCTGACATGTCTGTAAGTGTATTGCATTTCTTTTGTAGTTTTTGACCTTGTTTTCCAAATACCCTGAGTCAGGCTTGCCAACTGCAAGTTCCATCCCAATCGTCCCCTTAGACCTGGATCATGAGTCCTGTTTGCGGTGGTCCACTGTCCCGAATGACTCCCCCCGGTTTCAGCCATAAATGGATCCGCGTTTGGGATGGCGGTGTGATTCAACTTTATTCTGGCCGTCAGGAGGTTCTGGCGTCCTTCAGCCTGCCAAAAGGCAGGGAGCCTGTTGGAAGGTGCAAGGGCCTATCCAGAGGAATCCGGTGCCGTTTCGGCGAGAATGGGGGGGGGTGTAGTTTTGAGGGGCATAGTTTGACTTGAGTTTTGAGACGGCTGCGGTGAAGCGGCTTGCGTTCCCAAAGTCGCCACTTGTTTTGCCCAGCATCTTGTTTCACTGTAAGCATTTGGAGTGGATATTGGTTCCCACTGACCTTAACTGGCAGCAAATGAGAGACATTTCTTGGGGTAGCGACAATTCGAGGCAGGGGCAGGGGCCAGGACCCCAAAAGGTTTGGTCCATCCAGCAAATTGGCAGCTTGGGTTTCGCTTTCGCCGTCAGACCTGGACTCCGTGGTGCTCCTCCGAGAAAATCAGATCTTCACCCACAGCGACGCGGCCCTGGAGGTGCCGAGCTGAGTCGGGCTAGGGAGATGCGAGTGGTTTGCGTGGCGGGGGAAGGTAGCGTCGCTGCCGCTGTTTGTTTTTCCTGATATGTACGTGCGTGCAGATACATGTGTACATTTACATGTTCTGCCTTGTCTCCGCAGTTTTTGTGATCGAATTTGTCGGGAGACTGCCTTTCCCCCCTTTTTCCTTCGCAATGGCAAAGATCGCGAAGAAGCAGGCGTGGCCGTGAACTGACCACAAAGCCTCCCGTTCTTGTTTTCCACACGGTTTTTTGGGGGTTGCTTAGGGTTTGGAGCAGCAGGATCTTGAAGAGTACAAACAGAAGCATTCCTTTGTTGGACAACTCCCAGCGAGCTTTTTGATTCCTATTTTCTCGTCCACTGAATAGCTTGCGAACATAAACATTTCCAGAAGTTCACTTTGTACTCAAGGGAATGGGCACCCTTTTCAAGGGGTCAGACAATAGGTGCCACGAAAAACTTATCCTACTTTCAGAGGTTCATCCCACTTGGAGACTTCGGTCAGGTGGTGAAGCTGCAGGTGGATCTGCTGGCAGAGCTCACTGCCTCTCCGCGGACTCAGTGCCTCGCCAAAAGTGAAGCGCTGAAAAAACGAAACGGACGCGCCAGCTGAATGAATTGGGGCCGCTTCCTCGAAGACGGTCATCAACCTTTTGGGTTGACTCAATTTTGGGCCGCCTCCTCGAACCTCTGAGGTTGGGTCATATGGAAACCTATGTGACAGGCAGTTCTACTTGGTTCAGTTGACATCCCGGTTTTTTGGGGTTGGGGGGTCATTAGGCAAAAAGCAAACCTTCCATGGGTAGATGAAGGTCAAAAGCTATATAATTTCCGAAACCACAAATAGGTGCGGCAAGGAGCCCTTTGGTAAACTCCGTTAGTACCAGGTTTTGATTTGACTCAAATCTGGCCGCAATCAACACCAATTGTGAGGTTGGGCCAATATCCAGCAGTCTGCGAAAAACTTGAATCGCAAGGGGGTTGTACTACCTTTGGGGCTGGGATCAGAGTAAAAACAGTTTTTTTAGCTACTACTCACACGAGATTGGGTATCCGACTATTCGAGTATATGATATATGACAATAACATTAATGACTGATGTACTCTTGGTTTTGGGGAGAAGGAGAAGGGGCAACAACCCAAGCTTCAAATTCGGGGGGGGGGGTCCCATGTCCTCTTGCGGGAAGCAAGTGATTTTGTCTGAGGCTCATGTGAGGCTGGGCAGTATTTCCTACACAAAATAAGGGCTAATTTTGCGATTCCTAAGCTAGTAGGGGGGTTAGGTAGATCAGTTTCATCAATCAAAACCTGTAGTTACTTCATTTAAGGGCCGTTAAACAACTCCCTAGGTGGACAGGTACCTAAACACGAGGAATGGTAAATGCCCTCTGCAGATTTGGGAGCACCCGCGGGTTCTAACCGACATGTAGATAAGGTTTGAACCCGGGATGAAGGATAGTAGGAGACAGCAGCACAAGCGTTCCGCGGTATTGATTCTTTACAAGGCTTTTTGGTAGACCCCTGTAGTACCCTCGGTTCTGATTGCGACCAATTAGAGTCCTGGACATGGGGGGCGTCCTGAATTGAGAGCTGGAGTTTCATATTTCCCAGTGTTTTAATACGAAGCTTGGTTGCTACTCTTGGTCTCCCACAAAAAAAGCGTTCTACAAGGGGTCTGACTCTTTGTGGGCTTTGCCCAGAAGGCGACTAGATGGAGACCCAGTGGTCCTCCTACCACGACGAAGCGCATATCTAGCACTGCGATAGGCCAAGCTGCAAGCCACAAGGGGTGCTCCTGCAACACATGGAGCCTAAGACACAATTAGAGGAATCTCCTTGTCAGGGACCCCCTTGTCAGGTTCAACATGTTAATCTGAAGTTGACCCAAGGCAGCGCCTGCGCAAGTGCCAAAGCGCGGCCGATCGGGATGCCCTGGCACGGAGCTTGGAGAGCGACCTGGCGGGCAAGCAAGGCTTCGACCTCCAGGCAGGCAACCGAGGGGACCCCTTGGTGGACATCAATTAGGTAGGGACCACTTTGGCCAGACGAAAAGGCCAGCCGCGAACGATCATTTTGATATGGCTTGTGCCCATATGGCACTGATTTTTTTTACGTGGAATACCCTCCCAAAAGGCTGGTGCACATGAATCCCCTCTAAATGATGTCCACCCAAGGGTCCCCAAAAAGCTCGTACCCGAATTGGTCAAGGCGTTCGATTGACTCATGAATCTGACCGTATCGACTCATTTTATCTGAGCAAGGCTTTGATTTGGACAAGTCAGAGGAGTGACTCCCATGGTCGTAGGTTGTCGTTTTGGCGGCCTTTGGAGAGGAGTTTTTTTTTCTTCCCTCTTTATATGACGAGCAAAACTTGGCTCGTGCAAAGCCTTTCCCAAGATCAGGTCGAGTCAGATGGGCTTCAGCAATTTCCGTCAGGCTTTGGACCAGGCACTGCAAGAGCTGAGTGCGGAGTCTTGGATTCAAGCGCCAAAGATGTTGTTGGGAAATGATCCTGAGAGTCGTTACCTTCGCACCTTTACGGTGCTCCGGACCCTTTGACGAACCCATAAGAAGCTTCGAAGGCCTTTTTGGGGGTGGGGTGCTTTTGGTTTTTATTCAGTTGGTTGAACCAACTCTCAGTGGTGAGCAAGTGAACAGCGGAGCGGCTGAGTAGCCTGTTGCCCGTTCGCCGCGACAGTGCTTCAGGTGGTTGGTAGCTCATGTTTGGTTTCCCTCGACCAGCCCTACTCGTTTTTTGGCTTTGTATCAGAAAACTTGTCCAATCGCATTGACCCCCTCCCATTGGTTTCGGGATTTCCCGTTTCAAAGCAAAGACCAGTGTCCGATGGGAAAAACAAACGGTTTCTTTGCATTTATTTTATTGTAAATGAACTGACATCAACCAGTGAAGTCCTGGTAGTCAGACGTGGAACCCTGAGCATACCATTCCAAGATGGCACCTGACAGAGTGTCCCTTTCAAAGGGGTATCATCACGGCTTTGATAGCAGTCTTCAGGTTACCCTTCCTTTTTGTTTTTGGATTGGGGTTTGAACCCCTGGTTCTTGTTGGTAAATGGGAAACCACCCCAACCCAAACCAGCAACTCGGTGAGGGCTGTTTTTGTTTCGTTTTCAATTTGTGTCTTTTTGGGGTGGTGGGCTACGGGCCAAATTCTTCCGGTGAGGACGTGGAAGTGGACGCGCATCGCCGCAGCATCGTCGAGGCGCTCCACGGCCGAGAGGATCCGGAGGTAGAAGGCATTATGGACCGGACCGCGATTTCCCGGTCCGCGCTGCGCCTCGGCCTCGTCTCGGCCTCGTTTCGGCCCAGGAAGGCCCAGGAGGTCGGTTTGGCCTCAAGGATTTGTCCCCATGGCTCAGGAAGTCGCACGTCGTGCAAGGTACCTTTTGTGGTTTGAAAGGGAGTTCAAAGGGATTTTTTGTATTTTCTTAGGGCCTTAGGGCACACACGTCTGGAATTGCCTGTAGCTCAAGAGGATTCAACGCAAGAGCTTCCGCTTTCACAATGCGCCGCTGCCTTCTCTGGAGCTCTCAGCCTGCAGTCGTGTGCTTGAGGAAGAACCTGCTCCAAACCCTGCACAAATGCTTCGCAAAGCCATCCTTCCAGTCTGTGGCGGACTGACTGTTGAGACTGACCTGGCTCGCCATTCAGACATGAGATGAGAGCTGGCCAGCGTGAACTGGTTGACAAGGACTTGGATATGCTGAAGGAGGAGGCCACTCGCCGTGGAGAAGACCCAGAGGCCGGTTTCCGTAGCGCAGATGCTTCCGGGGAACCGCGGAGCGGACGATCGACATGCCGTCAGCTGTCAGGCCCCCCATTTGGCGGGCCGGGATGAGCTCATCTTCTTCATCCAAGAGGATCTGCTGCCGAAGTACGGATTCGAGGCACCGGGGTGCCGCTTCGGGCCTTGCCACAATTGGTCTTGACCCTTCCTGTTCTTGGTGCTGAGAAAGGACACCTAAAGAGTTCGAACATTTTGTGTTCGGGCGTCAAGTTTTCGAGTTCAGGCGTCCAAGGCGGGGGTGAATGAGATGCTCAAGCTCTGCGCGCGCCATTTGGCGGACCCGGAGATCGCCCGGCTCTTCGACGACGCCAACAAGCCGCCGCCCCAGCAGCAGCTTTGCGCGACCTCCTTGCTGCTTTGGGCCGGAAGAGAACTGAGTCCCCAGTTGCCATGGAGCCTTTGCAAAGGGACGCCTAGAGGAGCTGGCGGTGTTTGAACTGTGGGGGGCGATCAAAAGGTCCTTGTAAAGAGTGTAGAATTGTTGTTGAATTTACCAACATCCATGTGTAACGTATGTAAATATGTACTCCCTGCGCGACCGGCCAGGCAAGTTGGCATGTCCCCTGCAGCCTGCGAGTTCTTCCGGAAGAAGGTGGCGATGATGAAGTGAGGCCCAGCATAGAACTTACATGTGTTTGGCTTCAATCGAGCATGTTTTCTTGGGGGTACCCCCTTTTTGTGGTCTGAACTCAAACGGATTTGGAGCACCTTGCAACATTGATGGCCATCAATGGCTAGGCACCTTGGGTCCGTAATTTAGACTCTTCCCCACGTGGCGCTATCGAATTGCATGTTAATCAAGTGACTTTTCGCGCGATTCCGTGAGCCGTGGTTTTTGGGTCCACGTGTGATTTGGCTTCCTGTTTTGGCCAGGCCCAGTGGCGGATGGCAATCTGACAGCAAGGAATTCGTACAGGCTTGAGCCTGAGATTTAAGGAATATGTGCTGTTGAAGATATGTGTAATATATATATATATATACAAGTGCACAGACGCATACATAGTTTGTGGGCTGTTTGGCACATTAGCTTGCTGAATTTGGCCATATCAAAAGCTCAAAGATACCTGGCTGCATGCTGCAAGATCTAGCTTCCCGTGCCTTGCTGACGGGGGCGACCTCTGCAATGCAGAGGTTGCCATGACCTTTGGATGCGCCCTGAAACTAGGGCTCTCGACCAGGGCTCTCGACAGCTGTATTTCTATCAGCCAGAATCATACATGTTGAGCCTTGATTCGGCAAAACAAAACAAACACTTGCTACTTCAGGGGTCCCGGTTTCGCGCGGATTCCAAAGGCCTCGTCTCCGGTTTTGAAGCCTATCTTTTCTGTCTAATTCTTTTTTTCCGCGGGCAGGAGGCACATGGCATGTTTCTGAGCCTCCTGCCCTGGACATTTGGCAGCACGGCTGTCCACCCAACACGCAGGTTGCGCTCTAGATGTTTGGCTCATGTGGTGAGATTGGGAGTTGTAGGAGATAAGAACGGAGAAGAGGGGTGATCTAATATGAAGACACAAAAAGAGCTTAACTTCAGAGCGCAAACCGCAGTTGCAAGACTGCATACAACTTGAGTGTGTGTGATTTTGTTTGCTAGCCTCGGGTTTCGTGCCGATGCGGAAAAAGGGCACGAGGGCAGTTGTTGATGCTAGTCCAGGCTCAAATCCAATGCACATACTGTGATCATGAGTTCATACGGGTGTGTCTCAAAAAAAGGGTACCCCTCAAAAAGGTCAGCTTCTGTTTGGTGTCCCTTTACACCAGCAACAAAAAGGGCACTCCTGTCTTCAATACATCGTCCAACCTCTTTGGCTGAATTTCCCGGCTGCGGTCAGGCGATTGGAGACCTGGATGGCATCATCAGTGGCTTGTGGGGGCTGAAGGCCATGTTTTGTTTTTTCTTCCCCCGCACCGGGCTACGGTCTCCCGCTATCGTCCGCGTTTCATGTTTTGAGGGGTTTTGGTAGATTCAGTTTGCTTCTAATCATTTGGTTATGGGGTGTTTGCAAGGACAGCCTGCAACCGACCATTTGGAAGGGGTTTGCTGAAGGCCACTTGGCTCTAGCCTGGTAGCAAACTCTAGGCCGGTGTTGTGCGCCTGTGTTTGTTTGCTTGCGCGTTTGCTTGCGCCTGTGTTTGTTGCTTGCTTGTTTGCTTGTTTGCTGGCTTGTTTGATTGTTTGTTTGTTTGTGTGTTTGTCACAAATACACTTTTCCCATGCCTATGTCATGATACAACTGCCACTTTGGTGGCTCAAGCATGCACCAGAGAAAAGGTGCTGTGCCACTTCACATGCTTCGGTTTGTGATTGGTGAGACTTTAGAGTCCTTGGATTTTTTCTTGGTAGCGGAGCTCTGGAACTTTCCAGAGCGTCCGAAGAACTTTGGGGTTTGAGCCATGGAGGGGACATGGCTGGCAGACTTAGGTTGCCAATGCCATCCACTTACAATGGTTCGCCATCGGAGTGGGAAGAGCATACATTTCAATGATTTCAATTTTGAGACTTCTGCAATTGGGGTACTTGACAGGGTTGAAGGAAGAGCGGAGCCAATTTAGGATGAAGACTTGGCAATCGCTTTGGACACTGGTGATCCAGATGAGGAAGCATCGAGAAAAGGCGGTGACTTTCAGCCGAAAGCTGCGCTACTTGCTAGTGAACCTCACTACAGACACTGCGAGACTTATAGTGAGGCAGAACACTGATGGTACTGGCTTTGAGACTTGGAGGCGGCTTTACCAGAAGTTTGCGCTGCCAGATGCCACAAGGCATGTCTCACTTTTAACTCAGCTCCTAGACTTCAAGCTTAACCCAGCAACTTTTGAAGCTGACCTTAACGACCGGGAAACCATTAAAGCCAAGTATGAGCGACAAACCGGAACCGAGCTTCCCGATAGCGTGTTAGTGGCGACTCTGCTGAACAAGACCACCGGAGCTTTGCAGCAGCACGTGCGACGCAATGCAAGGTCACTTAATACCTGCGCGCAAATCAAAGACGTCATAGTGGAGTACTTTCGTTCGCGACACATCCTCACTTCGAACGTTCAACGGCCAGCGCCAATGAAAATTGGAGCACTTTGGAGGAAAGGCAAAGGCAGCTCACTTTGGCACAAAGGCAAAGGCAAAGGACTTTCAGGTAAGGCGCAAGGTAAAAGAAAGGGGCTCCACTATAACTTTCACGCGGCAAGACAGGCAAAGGAAAGGATTTTGAGAAAGGAAAAGGCAAAGAGAAAGGCAAAGGTAAGAACTTAGGTTCCCAGCTTTGCTGGAATTGTGGTAGACCAGGTCACTTGTCTAACGCTTGTCCAAACAGGAGAGTGAATGCACTTGAAGAAACAGAGGCGCTTCAGGATTCGTCCTAGTTGGCAGAGGAATCGGAGAACTTTGTGTACTTCGACGACAACGTGTGCGAGGGCCCTTGGGTTGCTTGGGACACTTGGAGCGTGAACGCAGCTTGGAAAGATGATGCTTGGTGGCATGATGCTTGGACTTGGGAGTCGGACACTTGGGGTTGGTCACAGCCCGAGGCTACTCCCACATTGGACAGTAGTGATGCAGCAAAGAACTTGACGAAGAAGCCTTCAGGAGCAGATGCTTCGGCTTCTGGCTCAGCGGGAGTTGCTGCAGTCACTGCGGGCCCGCCAGGACTTTGGCTAAGCCTGTTCCGAAAACATCTGCGGCTTCCAACTTTATGTTGGCTGCCATTATGCTTGGAAACTTTGGTACAGGGAGTTCGCTTGGACTTGGGCTTGTGACGACTGGCTTGGCTGACTTTGACTTGAAAGGTTGCTTGCCGCTTGGTTTGCTTGGTAGTACCTGTTCGCATGGCAACGTGTTGAACACGTTGGTTGGCTTGCCAGTTGCGCCACTTGAGACTTTCGCACTTGATGGACCGACAGTTTCACGGCATGTCACCTTGAAAAAAGTAGTTGAAGACTTGAACTTGAGTATTAACACGAGTTTCACGATGTGCGGGAGTACTAGCTTCTCAAAGAAACCGCCCAAAGCATTTTGGCACTTAGGCTGTGCCAGGTAGTCAACTACCAGATCTGAAATTTTCTGAGTACTTCAGGACAGAGTTAGGGAACAAAAAATAATCTCATGGAAAACCACAAAGAGAAAACTTTGGGCAAGTGACGAGCCAACAAGTAAACAATCCAACTTGAGCAAGGATTCTGAAGTGAAAAAGAACCAAGTGAATTGCGGAAGATCCAAAATATTTCTTCCAAAGCAACCTTGGCCGAGCAAACATCCTTGCTCGAGCCCCGGACATCTTCCAAGGCAAGCTGCGGCGGCGCCGGCAGTGGGTCCGGCATGACCGCGGTCTCAATGACTGGGAGGATTGGAAGACAAATGTGGCAACTCTCCAAGTAGGTCAGGGTCCGGCCGCGCGGGCCAGCCGCGCGGGCCAACGAGGCCTTGGCTGGAGACTGGACCGCCCAAGGAAGGCTGGGAAATCATGCGCTTTACGGGCTTCAAGAAACTCAAAACTGGCGAAGTCTTGCTGCGCTGCCCATCCTGCGTGAAAACCAAGTTCAGCCGCCTATGGGGCGGCGCGTCGGTTCCAAGGCAATGAAAGCCATTGAGGCTCAACTGACACACCACGCCCTCTGCCGCAAGTACCTGTCGGAAAGTCCAGCTGCCATGAAGACCGCTCCAAGCGAGCTGCTGCAGCACCCTGCGCTGCAAGCAAGCTAAGAAAAGCAAAACTTCAAACAAACCTTGACCTTAAGCGAAACATTCGCCAACAACTTTGAGAATGCTAGGCGCCTTTTCTTCCTTCGGAAATGAACCTGGCCATTCTGCAGAAGGAAAAGAAGCTCCTTACGCCCATCGTGATGCCAAGCCAAGATGTGAACATGCTCGAAGGGCATGGCTAAGGAATGCTATGGACTGAGGAGCAAAAAAGTGGAACTACAGATGCGAGGCTGGCAGTGCCTGCGGGGCAACCAATGGCCATTGCAAATCAACCTCTCGGCATCCTTGCAGCCGGAAATAACAAGAAACTCGGCGTCCTTGCGGCCGGAAACAACAAGAAGCGAAGACACGTTGCGATGCAATATTTTTCCTGTGCAGCCAGCCGTCTGACATTGCAATAATTAAATTATACAGGACAAATCACTTGCTTGCGTAAAATGCCAACAGCTGGCTCGCAGAGCCTTCAGGCTGCTGAGAATCCTTGCAGCAAGACAGGTGTGCTTGCAGCTGACCAGAGGCGCTTGAATCCTAGGGCTTTGAGAGCAAATCCAAAGCAACCACTAAAGGACTGCACCTTCTCAGCAAACACCATGTAGACGATGTTTCCGGGTGTCTGCGTAATCGCAAAAAGCTTGGACTGATCAATGCTTTCAAGTTGAGAATGGCTGAGGCTCAGGAAGAAGCTCACCGTGCTCGTGATGTCCATCTTCGTGCGGGGGATGTTGGCAGCCTCCATGAGCTCGATCACAGTTGTCGTGGCGCAGCAAACAATAGTGCGAGTGCCCTGACACAAAGAGCGAAAAGAAGCAAGGCGCTCAGCTTCAACCGCAGCAGTGACCAGGCCGGCCTGCAAGCCAAACTGCTGAAGGTCGCAAGCCTTGAGGTTGGCAATGGGCGAAAGCTTGACAAGAGAATTGTCA